TGCGAGTTGCAAACCCCAAGTTATGTACCTCTGATATATATATATAGAAAACTGAGGAAACAACATGCACACATTTCTTAAGCTTAAAATACAAAATAAGACACTGGGCTGTTGGAAGATGTTGACCGATTACATATACTATTAAATTGTGTATTTTTCCAAATTTCACGCATTTATGACAAAATATGACAATTTCTGCTCGTTGCGATACCAGACTTCAAGTTTTGTCAATCTGCGCATGCATAGAGCAGACAAAACTTGCACTCCTGGTGCTTGTGAGGGTGCCAAATGTCAGTCATGAGTATGCATAATCCATTGCGGAGCAAACCATTCAGCAACTTAGCTGGCGAGAATCATACCTCAAAATACAAAACATCTTGTCCAACCCAATTACGAGTGCTGATAAGACACCATGCAAGTGGAAAATGTATAAATTGTATATATTTGTCTACACATTTCAGACAAAATATGACAATTCTCAAGAAGGCGGAACTTGCAGTTCAAGTTCTGCCTATTCTACATCATAGTCTCTTTTGTCTGCCATCTCAACAAAAGTATCAAAAATTTTAAAAAGCGGAAACTGATTGAGCGTCCCCAAATGTTGGCACGTTTCTCTCATGGTTTTTGACAGTTTGCTCTATTGTACTACATGTGCTTGGGTATATTGAGTAATATTTGGATGGTTCAATTCAGTAATGTTATAATTTAGGATGTACCAAATGCGACTTTTAGTTTATATCCGCTCCTTCCTAAAAAAGCAAATAATGTTTTTATATGGATTTAAAGTAAGTTTATTATTATATAGCACACTAATACAATATGCTGTTTGTTTTAGAAACAGGTTAAGAAAGTTAGCAAGCCATCAGGTGGGAGTGGTGGTAAGGGTAAGAAGAAGAAGCTAACTTTGAAGTTTGTAATAGATTGTGCACATCCTGTGGAAGATGGAATCATGGATGCAGCCAACTTTGTAAGTTGAGAAACACTTGAAATATTTAATCCTTTTCAAGTTGGGCGTTTCAAGCTGTCAATTCAAGTCGGTGAAAAACAGCATGATTCAATGCATGCCTGGACAACAATTTATCGCTTTGACATTACCCAACTACACAAATGCATCATGACAACCAAAGAAGCCAAAAAAGTGTTGGGGTTGGGTAGGATTGGATTGAAGTTAGTGTTTGGTAGGAGTGGACATTACGGTGCTGGTAATATCTCCTCATGCTCTTGGAATTTTGATATTTCAAGGTGAGAAATGGATAGTTGATTACTAGTACTTGGTTGGCATATCTGACATAAGATATCTGTTTAATCAAAATAACAAACAGTTTTTTCACAACTAAACTAGTTAAAGACTGACATGGTATATAAACAGGCGCGGCCGTTTTTTATTCAAATGTAGTCACCCTCCCTCGGTGATTAAAAGCTCCACAAAAACATGAGAAACAGTGATTCATTGCATTATATTTTCTATTTTTCAAACGTGAGTGGCGCCATGAATGTTCAGGGAAGCCATAAATAAAAATAGTAAAGAATTTGACAGGTAGAACATTTACTTTTGCAGGGAAAATGGGTTTCAAAAGCGTCAAGTTTCGAATTTGCTGGCACTGTAAGCTCCACCCACATCGTTTTCAAAATGCCTACTTTGCATATGAGGTGAAATAAACTCCACGAGTGCGTTGTTTATGTTAGAGAGTACAATGGAATGAATTACAGGAAAAAAACATAAACGAGCTTTATTGGGCATGAGGTTGTCAAAACCAGACAGAATATAAAGTGTCTGTAGTTGAAATCAACTTATCAACGATAAACGGCATTCATAAACCATTCCTAACAATTTTGCCTGTAGTTATGATATATATACTCAATGTACCTTTTTATTTATTCAACAACCTTCACCCACGTACGGACAGAGTAAATTTTGTTGTAATATTGCTCGGCCAAGTTTTGCCGTGACTGAATTTCAGGCCAAATTGATATATATCCGATAAAAATGCACATTTACGCATTCTTGTGTTTGACTAGACCGGCATAGTTTGGAATTCTTTTTAGTTTGCCAAAAAAATAGACTATAACCTGTGGCTGCGAAAAAAATCTTGAGCAGTTTCACAATTCTTATTTTCTCGGCTCAATGTCTGTGAAAGACCTCAATCCAAATTCAAAATTGCGTGGGAACCTATTTGATATTTTGTAGCAAGTTCCACTATAAATGTAAACAATGTCGCCACTGATGTTCTTTCGTCTTTGCGTTGCCTAGCCAATGTAATAAGAAAAAAAACATGATCACTGGCAATAGGCACGAACACGTGAATATGTGACACGAAACTGACCATTTCCCATACGATAAAAAAATATTACAACCTGATGATCGATCCAAGCCGCTGAGGTCATGGAAGATAATACATGTAGGTCAAATCCGTGAACGAATGTGTTTCGTTTCACCTGGACAATCAACATAAATATTATTTGAATATACAGTTCTCTTAGTTGTCAGAGGTAAAAAGTGATCGCTCAGAGACCAGAGGTTTACTCTACGCAACGTAA